GAGATGAGGTGGGGTGAGGAGAGAGATGAGGTGGGGTGAGGAGAGAGGCTGAAGGCTGTGAGTCACTGCGTGGTCCATGAATGGGGCTGCCAAAGCCCAAGAACAAATTATAATCATTAGGCACTTTAAGAGGCTGGGGGAGGGACCAAAAAGGGAAGATTGCAATGGGACCCCCCAGCTCCAAAGCCCAGTACAGGCTCCCTTCAACTCACCTTCCATCACTCCTGCTTTTTCTGGGTCTCTCTGCTCCTCCATTTCTGAGTCTCCCTCAACTCTGGGCACTTGTCTCTGTCTCTGGGCCTGTGTCCTTCTCTTTCTGGGTCTCTGCTTCTCTTCCTTTCCTCTCTCCCTCTCTCCCCCCGTCTTCTGCTCTCTTTCTTTTCCCCTCTGCCCCTCCCAGTGTCACCTTGGGGCCCCTACCCAGATTCTACCCATCCACTGCATGCTCTCTGGCAGGCTGGACACCTCTCCCACCCGCCATGCTCAGGGTCACCCCCTCATTCTTTTCAGATTATGGCCTCTTTCATCAGGCAGTCTCCCCATTAATAACTGTGTCTGTAACTCTGGTCAGAGAGGGGAGGGAAGGGAGCAGAGAATCTTGGAATGGAAACTAGGCAATAAAAAAAAAATAGGAGAAGGGCGGTGGGGGCAGAGCCAGCTGCCCAGACCAGGGATAAAAGGCTTTGCTGGCGTGTCCTGGAAGAGACACCACCCCTACACTTGCAAGGAACCAGAGGGACTGGAGGATGGTAGGCATCTTTTCTTCACAGCCAAGGAGCCTGTGACCCCATCCTCTAGACTCTGACCTCCACATCTCTGTTCTGTCTCCATGCCACCAAGGGTCTGGGCCTCAGGGTATGTGGGACTCTCTGACCCTGAGGATGATTTCTGTTTTTTTTTTTTTTTTTTTTTCCTCTTCCACTTGTTCTCTGCATTTGCTAGACCTGGACTTCCAGCTCCAGAATGTTCCTTCTACTGACCATACTTCAAGCCTTGGCTATAGGTAAGAGCAATTTGGTCCCCATGGAAACTTTGAGATGAGCTAGGGATGGGTTCTGGGGTGTATGTTTTAGGAGACAGCCTGGTTAGAAAAAGTCCAGAGGGGCTAGGAGATGGCTTAGCCTTGTAAGCCCAAGGATCTGAGTTTGATGCCCCTGGAGCTCACTCTTTAAAAAAAAAGGGAGGGGGTGCTGTAGAGTATTGTAATTATCACTGGGGAGGCAGAGACGGCAGCACCCTGGTCTGCTGGCCAGCCCGCATAGCCTAGTCAGCAAGTTCCAGGCCTCTGAGAGACACTGTCTCAAAACAAACAAAGATGGGCTGGGCCTGATAAATGACTCCTGAGGTTAATCTTTGGGTTCTATGCCCTCACAAGCTCGAGGGCACACACAGAGCAGCGAGTAACTTGGGGATTGTTGGTGAGGACCTCACTTAACTAGAATTTTGTGTCCACATTCTGCATTTAGAAATACCAGGAAACTGGGCTGGGGAGAGAGACAGCTACAGGATAGAGAGGAAATAACAGAAGACTCTGACATCTCAGGCGGGTTCTATCTGAAGAGCCTCTTTAGTCATGTCAGGAAAGAGGAAAGTGGAGTGTGAAAAGGTAGAGCGAGCCTGGCGACAGAATGAGGAACGTTTGGAAGGACACAGGAACTCCTTGGATATGTTGAGGAAGAACTAGAGTGGCATGTGGTGAATACAGGGAGCTGGCTCAGCAGTTAAAGCCACTCAACAGCGAGGACTAGAATCCAGATCCCCGGAGCCTACGCAGGTGGCGGCTGTTTGTGACAGGCATGCCTTAATTCCAACTTTAAAGGCAAAGACAGAGGATCCCCAACAGAAGCTGGCTAGTGAGGCCACCCATAGCAGTGGGCTGTAGATTGGACTGAGAGGCCCTGCTTCAGGGAATAACGTGTTAAAGTGATCAAGAAAAATTCCCAACATAACTTTAGGCCTCCCCACATACACACACATTCATGACTACATGCATATATGTGCCCATATACTTGTAAATATGTACACACACACACACATCTCATGGAAAAACAAAAATATCGAGGGGAACCAGGAATGCTGGTGCCTGCTGGGATTGCCAGCACTTGGAAGGCTGAAGTAAAAAGAATGCTGAGAGTTCAAGGCCAGCCTTGAACATAGTGTGACCTCGTCTCAACCTAAAGGAAATAAAGTGCTCATGGGAGGATGGGGTCAAAGGCTGTTTGAATGTTGAATGTGACACACTTGGTGGAGCAGAAAGAGGTTTAGGTACTGGGCCATCTGGAAGGGGCTCTGTCTCTGTCAATGCTGGGTACTGTACAGAGTTGGGGATTAGAGGTCAATCGTCCATCTCTTTTCCCCACCCCACCCCGTCTCCCCACTAGCCATAGCCCAGAGCCAAGGAGATCATAAAATTATTGGTGGCTACACATGTGTCCAGAACTCCCAGCCCTGGCAGGTGGCTCTGCAAGCAGGGAGCATGCGTCGCTTCATATGTGGAGGGGTCCTGCTGTCAGACCAGTGGGTCATCACTGCTGCTCACTGTGCCCGCCCGTGAGTATAGTCTCTTACGTTCTTCTGTCAATGACTTACAGATCCTAGAGTTTAGTTGTTAACCCAGATCCATGTATAGAACAGCCTGGAAGCTCTGTCCTGATTTGGAGTCTAGGAAAGAATCTAGGCTGAAAGGCACAGTTCAGAGTGTAGAAAGCCCTGCCACCACACCAAAACGATGCTTAGATGATGAAAGCCAGTCAGCAGGTTTGGAGTCTAAGACACAAGCTCATATATTCATCTAGTTACCAAGTACCACATCAGGGCCAGCATTAGCCCACCTCAGACTAGTACACAGGCTACATTCAGAAACTCAGAACATACCAGGAACCCAGAACCCAGAGCACATGACCCAGGCATGAGTCTGGGATTCATTTTGCAGCTAGTACATGCAACTGTAAAAATAGTCAGGGCCAAGGGCTCGGTGGGTGAAGTGTTTTCTATGCAAGCCTGTCAATCTGAGTTGGAATCTTCAGACCTCTCCTAAAAGCTGGGATACAGTAGTGTATATGTCTGTGATCACAACATTCCTATAGAGAGATGGGGGGAGCTGGGATCGGGAGAACTTGCTCAGCCTTGCCGGCCAGCTGTCCTGGAGGACACAGAGCTGAATGACGAGACTTACCCTGGCTTCCACATGTGTGCCATGGTATCACGCACCCCCAACACACAGAAGAAAAGTCTGGACCTAGAATGGTTTAGGCCCAGGTTTTAGCTGCAAGTCTGGTCACTAACTCCTCCTTGACTGTCCTAGAACCCTGACTCCATCCCAAAGTTTGAATCTCAGAACACTGACCATAATTTGTGGTTTAGAATCCAACTCCTCCCTGATTGGAAACCAGAATTTAGAGCTCAAACTTCAGCATTGAAGTGAAAGTCTAGGATACAACTCACCATGACTATGACCCAGATGACTGCCAAAACTGGACACTTAATTTAGAACCTAGAGACTGGAGAACAGAACAGAATCTAGAATACAGAGCCCAGGATGAAAACCAACTTCTAGTTCCTTATATATGGGTCATAGCCTGTAGCTTAGTCTAGAGCCTGAATCTCTAGATTAAGGTTGAGGACACAGACCAGAGTCCAGAATCAAGAGCCCAGGTTGTCACCAGTTGCTCAGTTTGAAACAGCTTTCATCTAAATCATGAGCCCAAGTGAATATTTAGAACCCTGAGCCCAACCAGAGCCCAGAATTTAAACCATTGTCTAGAACCCAGCTCATAAACAAAAGTTAGTCTAGAACCTGGAGCCTTATCTAGACGTGACCTTGTATCTGAAATCAATCTGCTGATATCATAACCCACTGTTCAGTGTGGAACCCAAGATGATTCTAAAACTGAGAACCTATACTGACATCTAGAATCCAAACTCAACCTGTACCATAGAGCTGCAAGTGGAGCCCACAGTTTGTCCTGAAAACATGAAGCTCACCTATGAATCTAGAAATTATGCCGTAAGCCAAACTGGATCTAGAACCCTTGCCCTTGCCTAGAAAATGTCTAGAACACAGATATGAGACTGATGCTTTCCCTATAATGAGCATATATGAGTACAAATAAATATACATAACAGTATATATATATGAATAATATACATCAGAGTGTATGGATATATATATCAGAGCATATGTATGACTGAGGAACCTGCAAGGACTCAGGAACTGAGTCAAGAGCTTTAAGCGGCCTTGAGCATATTCTGTAAGAGGCAGGGATATCAAATGAGGTTGGGTAAAGAGAGAATCCCAGGCCATGAGAAGGGAAAGACACAAGAGACCACAGTTGGAGGGACACAGGTTAGGCTTTGAGGGAAACTCATCACAATGGAAGAAAATGCGGGCTGGATGATGGTCTGTGGTCAGACCTTAAGCAGCATTTATTCTTGGGATTTATGGGACAGGATTCTTCATGCACTCCTGGGCAAGCACAACCTAAGGAGGTGGGAAGCATCTCAGCAGGTGCTGCGTGTGGTTCGCCAGGTGATACATCCCCAGTATCAACCCGGAGCCCATAACAATGACTTGATGCTGCTGAAGCTGCAGAGGAGAGCGCGTATGGGACACGCAGTGAGGACCATTCCTGTGGCCAGCTCCTGTGCCAGTCCAGGGACTCCCTGCCGAGTGTCAGGCTGGGGAACCACAGCCAGCCCCATTGGTAAGGAGCCCTCACCGTCCAAATAGAAAGCTGGACCTCTGGGTCTGAGGGAGGATGCTGACCTTGGACCTCTGGGTCCATAGTTCTCTAGTTGTGACCCTTCTATGCACCCCCCTCCAGCCAGATACCCCACAGCTCTGCAATGTGTAGAAGTCAACATCATGTCGGAGCAAGTATGCCATCGAGCCTACCCTGGAACCATCACCTCCGGCATGGTCTGTGCTGGGGTGCCTGAAGGCGGGAAAGACTCCTGTCAGGTGAAGTTCAGATTCAATCATGGGACCATTTAGGGCTTGGTCTTTGGTACCACAAGTGTCTTAATAATGGAAGAGTCAGTGGATGTGGTTGGGAAACCTCAGAGATACAGGAATAACCCAGCTGACGTGCCTTGTCACATGACCCTTTGGACTTTATTATGCTTTAGTTTCCTATTCGATCTAATAAAGATAAACTTCTTAGGCAGAGATAGGGGCTGTGAAGAGACACAGAGTCATCTGGAGATACAGCTGAGACAGAGAGAGACAGAGAGAGGCCACATCAGCTTCACAGAGGGCGGCTGGGCTGGGGACAGTTCTTGGGGTAGCGCTGTCGCTGCCTGAGGCTGAAGTAAGAGGTGAGGAGGGCTGTTGTCTCAACTGCTCACCTCCTGTGGCTGATTCTATTCCCATTCTTTCTCCCCACAGGGTGATTCTGGGGGACCCCTGGTGTGTGGGGGACAGCTCCAGGGCCTCGTTTCCTGGGGAATGGAGCGTTGTGCTTTGCCTGGCTACCCGGGAGTCTACACCAACCTGTGCAATTACCGAACCTGGATACAGAGGACGATGCAAAGCAACTGATCAGCCATCGCCTTACCAGCTGACCCTGTGCTTTCTCAGCCTCCACCATCAGACATCTGAGTCCTCCCCAAGACTCTAGAGTCCTCCTCAGACCTCCTCCATCATACTTAAGACTCTAGCCCCTAGCTTCCTCTCTCAGACCCAGACCCCCAGGCCCCAGGCTCTTCCCTCAGACCTAACATGCTTGCCCTAATTCCAGGTTCTACCTTCCTCCTCAGGGTCCTGACTCTGGAATTCTGCTCATTGCTTGTTGTCACAGCCTGAGACTCACTGGGCCTAGAGGCTGGAATACAAATACTCTGGACCAGTATCTTCATCAAAAGAAGTCTGCTTCCAAAACTCACTGTCTCTAAAATCCACATAAATAAAAACAAAAAATGGAGTCATCCCAAATTTCCTCCGTGCTTTCTTCATTAGTCTGTTCCCACGGCACGTGCTGTGAAAAGTGGCTGACTCAGGCTCTGAGCTCGCCTCTGGAGTCTGCCCATCGCAACCCATCCACCTGTGGTGGGCTTCCCACCTCTGAGCTGCCTCTTCCCTGGAAACAGCACACAGAGTCTTCCTTCTGCCAGTCAGAGCGGGGGAAGGGGAGAGGGCTGCTGAGTTCAAGTCCCAGCAAAGCCTGTCTCTCATTCTGCCTGTGCATCTCCAAATTTCATCCCTGACTCTAATTCCAACAGAGGCAGCACACAAACGACCTTGAATGCCAGGTGTCCAGCCCCAGCCCTCGTCTCCCAGACACAGGGATCCAGTCCCAGGCCTCCTCCCTTGGGCACAGAACCATGAGTACAATACAGAAGTAGCAGATTTTGCTGGCTTCGTGCGAACCATCCCTAACTTCTATGACTGCTGTGTTACGAAGCTCATTTTCTTCCTTTCACTTTTCGCACACCTACTATGTCTATTTTGGACACCTACTGTGCAGCAGTCATCGACCTGGCTGATGAAGAAGACCAATCCCCGCTTCTGCAAGCTGCACGCCGGCAGTGGGCACCTCACACGAAGTAGTAAACATCATAAAAGTCAGGTGGAATCCCTGTGAATAAAGAGGCCATTCCACTTGGGCCACTTCTGCTTATGAAAACTACTGGAGAAGCTTCAGGCATTTTAAGAGCTGGCTGATAAACACAACCATTGTTAAAATTCAAGTGACATAAAGATATGATGAAATAATTTTAAAAATAAAATCAAAGGGCTCAAGAGATGGCTCAGCAGTTCAGAGCACTGGCTGCTCTTGCAGAGGACCAAAGTTCATTTCCCAAGACCCACATGGTGGCTCACAATGTCTGTAACTCCAGTTCAGGGGGTCTGACGCTGCACACACATGGTACGCAAACACACACACACACACACACACACACACACACACACACGCACACATAAAAATACATAAATTTTAATCAATCCATACAGTGGCAGTCCTACATTTTAAACTAATAGCTATAGTTTACAGCCATTTAGGTTTATTGTGTCCCATGTGTTGACTTTCTGTTTGCTGTAACAGAGCAGATGGTGTGAGCCGCTCGATTAGTTTACTTTGGCTCACAGTTTAGGGGATGTGGACCATCGCGAGGATGGCACAGAGGGAGAAGTGCTGCCTTCTCACAGCTTAATGGGTCAAGAGGTAAGAAAGGGAGGAGGTAGGGAGGGAGAGAGAGAGAAGAGGGAAGGAAGAAGAGGGAGGGAGAGGAAACCAATGACAGTCCAGTCACAGTTACACCAATGTCCAGCTTGACAACCCAGTGAGTTTGTGGAGGTTCCTTTATGAGCAGGAACAACCCCAAGGCAGTAGCCTCGTGGCAAGCCCCTCCAGCACAGCTGGGCCTCACAACTGCTGCAGCTCTGGAGTTCTCCACACAGCTTGCTGGCAGCTGGACAGGCAAGAAAACTCCCCCTCCAGCCGCTGTGGCTGTTTTTAGAACTTTGGAGAGGGGCCTTGTGAATCTCAGGAATTTTTACTTTCCCAGACATGTGACATTTATTTACTTTTAGAGTTTCACGAGTTGCCTGCAACACTCCTTCTTGGGGAGAATGTATATGTAATTTTAAAATATTTATTTTATTTTAGACAGGATCTACTATATATCCCTGGGTGGCTAGAACTGGCTATGAAGACCAGGCTGTCCTTGAACTCACAGAGACCCGTCTGCTTCTGCCTCCTGAGTGCTGGGATTAAAAAGGGTGTGTCACCACATCTAACTGATTTATTTTATTTTTAATTATATGTATGTGTTGGGGGGGGGGTCAGGATGCATGAAATCATGCAGGTTCCTACAAACACCAAAGAGACGATAGGTGCTGAGTTCCCAGAGCTGGAGTTACAAGTGACCATAAGTTTCCCTGTGGATTGCTGAAAACTGAACTTGGTTTTTTGTAAGAACAACATGAGCTCTTAATCACTGAGTCCTCTCTCCAGCTTGATACCTCACTAAAGCTTCCTTTCTTGTTTGTCTTCAAGATCTCATATTAATATCACTAAAGCACTATAAAACATTCCAACTTATAAAAAGCTCCACTCTTTAAATTTTCGAACACTTTAAAAGTTCAGTCTTTTTTAAAGCACTCAGTTTCTCTCTAATGCATCAAAGCCTCTTAACTGTGGGCTTCTGTTTTTAAAAAAAGAAAAAAAGGTTAAATACTTTCTTCAGCCACAAGGGAAGAACCAGGACACAGTCACAATCAAATGAAAGCAGAACCAAAGTCCAGCAGTGTCAAGCTCAGCGTCAGACAGCTGGACTCACTTCTGTGCTCCAAAGGCGTGAGCAGCTACACCTCTGACTCTGCCATCCACAGCCTCAAAACTTGTTTCCTGGCTTCTGCTCTCCTCCACACCTGCTGGTATCCTTGGTGATCATCCCATGGTACTGGCATCCAAAAGGCTCAGGTCTCTACTGCAACTTCACCTTCACCAACAGCCTGTCCTGGGCTCTCTTCAGTGACTCCAGCCTGGCCATGTGGTGCCGAGCCTCAGCTTCTCTCCCTGACTACTCCAATACTGGGGCTTCTACTGTAAACCAAAGATGCACCTTCACCGATGGCCTCTTTTCAGGGACTCCAGCCTTGCCACACAGTGCCAAGCCTTATGTGCTCTCCATGATATTGTCACTCCTTTAAAACTAGTATTACCTGGGAACTCCTCACACGTCAACAAGTCTGGCCTTCAACCTCTCTGGACCGCAGCTTCTGTGTGCTGACCCTGAAGAAACACTTCCCAGATGATTTCACCTTAATGATATTGGTCTCTTCTTAACCCAGCTGATTCTTTAGCCCCAACTGACCAGCACCAATTGTCCCATCAAAGAAAAGGTTTTATTTTAGTGTTCCTAGTCTCTTGTTAATCACAGCTTCTGATCAGAACCACAGAGTCTTAAGTAAAAATATTCAACAGCCCCCAATATAGTCTTTAAGGGACTCTCAAACTTTCCTCAGAGGTTTCATAAGCCAGGCCTCCATTGCATGCGCTGCTATCAGCATTATCTTCCAAGTCCCCACAATAGCAACTTAAGCTCTGACACTTAATGGCTTTTCCAGTCCGAAGTTCCAAAGTCCTTCCACAATCCTTCCCAAAGCATGGGCTGGTCTGTCACAGCAATACCCAACTCCCAGTACCAGCTATTGTCTTAGTCAGGGTTCCTGTTGCTCTGATAAAGACCGTGAGCAAAAGCAACTTGGAAAGAAAAGTGTTTGACCTAACACTTTCCTATCACAGTTCACCAGAGGAATTCAGGGTGGGAACTCAAGGCAGGAACCAAAGCAAAAGCCAAGGAGACACGCTTCCTCCTAGCTTGCTCCCCTTGGCTTCCTCACTCTGCTTTCTTATACAGGCATCAGTGGAGGTGTTTTCAGGGTGGAATGTTTCACCCCAGGGCATTTGAGCACACGTGCTGTGCGTGCACGTGTGTGTGTGTGTGTGCGCGCGCGCGCGCGCGCGCGCGCGCGCATGTGTGTGTGAGAGAGACAGAGACAGAGAGATGTGAAAGTCAAAGATCAAACTCAGGTGTCACTCATCGGGAGCTGCTCACCTCGTTATTTTGGACAGAGTCTCTCACTGCTCAGGAGCCTGCTGATTAAGGTAGGATGGCTAGAAAGTAAGCCATCTGTCCCAGCCATTCTGTCTCCACCTCCCAGCATTGGGATTGGGATTGCAAGTGCATGCATGCTTATTATTATTATTATTATTATTATTATTATTATTATTATTATTATTATTATTATTAATGTTTTGGGAATCAAAATCAGGTCTTACCAACTGAGCTATATTCCCAGCTCCCTAGGAACTGCTTTTTTCTTTAATTTTTTTTCTATTTCAAAAATATTATATGCATGAGAGTTTTGCCTGCATATATGTCTGGGCATGTGCATGCTGAAAGAGGGCGTCAGACCCCCTGTAACTGGGATAACCGGTGGTTGTGAGCCAGTGTGGGGGTACTGGAAGCTTACCCTGGGCTCCCTGGAAGAACAGCTAGTGTTCGCAACTACTGAGCCCTCTCTGCCAGCCCTGTAGGTGTTTCTTAGGTCAAACAAGTTGACAGTCAAAATTGTCACAATGAACTTCCAAACACATCTTCCCAGATGTACACTCAGTGAGCTAACATTTTGCCCTGGTTAGCATTTGTCAACGACAAAGCCTACAGTCACCTAAGAAGGGAGTCTTACTTGAGGAATTATCTAGGCTAGATTTGCCCACGGACATCTCTGTGAGGGATTGTCTTGATTAATAAGTGGTGTAAAGAGAGGGCCCAGGCCATTGTGTGAGGCACCTTCCCTAGGGCAGGGGGTCCTGGGTTGAACATGAGCCTGCAAGAGAACAGTGTTTCTCCACGGTTCCTCCTCCAAGTTTCTTCTTGAGTTCCTGCCGTGACTTCCCTCAATGACTGGCTATAACCTGTGAGCTGAAGCAAACTGTCTCCTCCTCTAAGGCTTTTGTAATACTATTTGTCACAGCAACAGAATGCAACTAGAGTATACCAGTAACCTGACAAAGTGGGGTGATTTACACC